ATTAATTAATAGGCATTATAGGCCAGGGGAAATTTTGCGCCCCTTCACACCTGCACCCGGGGGCGATTGCAACTCCCCCTTGCTACGCCACTGTGGACCACCAATACTTGGGTTACTCTTTAACAGTGAATGGTGAGATTAACTATCTCACTATAATATTAACAAAGCTGAAAGGGCAAGAACTCCTAGTAATGTGTTTTGATCCTGTAACCCACAAACTGCAAGTCAAGAACCTTAACTACCAGGCCATACTAGGCCTAAGTAAAAAGGATCTCAAACTTATTAGCATTAACAAAAATCTATCTCTTTCTTTTATCACTGGCTAACGTCCTGATTTGCATGAAAAATAATGGATTATATCACTATTCTCCATCAAATAAATGGTATATACTGTGAGGAATTGATCAAACTTGTGATCATTCTATTAACAAACTGATATGATTTTAAACTGGGCCTGTTGTCCTTTCCAACTTGTTTCCTGTTATAACTTTTTGTTTTTTAATAGGTCAAGAATATATAGTGTCTCAGAATATGAAGGTTCTAGAGGCATTGCTTGTCATGAGAGAAGTTGTAGAACATTCCTAGTTGCTATACACAGTTCCAGAAGCCATAGCTTAGATAGTCATGTAGATTTCATTGCTTTAGCAGGAAAATAGTTGTAAAAATGAGACAGTATAGTTAGCTGAAAATTCCTAACCATTCTAGTTACTAACGGTTAATTTTTTCTATTGCAAGGTCTTTTATTGGTTTTCTTGATTTACACATTACTCAAGAGGCTTTGGTGTATGTTGTATATTTAACATGAGTTTGGGTTTGTTTCAGAACAAAGGCACATTTGGCTATCTATTATGTCTGCCATGGGGAATCGACCCCCAGATTTTAGCATTGTAAGTCCATAAACTTACTGCTGTCCTAACAGGGGACTATTTAGCATAAAATCCATTTCTCGGTATACAGTATAAAAAACAATTTTATTTACTATTCATGAATACAGCTATCACATGATTTACATTTCATACATTATGAGCAACAGTAGTGTATGTAATTTGTACAGTCACTAATATAATAGATTAACTAAAACTAAATGTGATAAAGATCTGTATAATATTTTTGTATGAGCTATAGAAATGATCATGAACTAAACAAAGATTAGTAAACAAACAATTATTCAAAAATTTGTAAAAATAACACTTTTTTTTTTTTTTTATAAAATAGCAAGTTTAAACAGGTTTATTACAACAATTCAGAACCAGAAATTATATTTATTATGTATTTACCTACTAAAACTACTTTAAAAGAGGATATTACAGAAGATGGTTATATGGCTGAGTTTGGTTCAAATGTAGTCCCAATGCAAGGAACTCAGAACTACATAATTACTTTTGTTTATTAAGATAACTAAAGGAAAGGCTCAGTTTTATATAATTAAAAAAAGTTTACCAATTAATTACAATTATTAACTTTATGTTAAATTTTTCAAGAAAGTTGTAATATTTATTATGTGAAAAGTTAATACAAAATTACCAATGAATATAGTTCATTTTCTTCATTTAAAATTTCCAATGTAGCTATGGCATGAAACTTCCATAAAGGTTATAAAAATTTTCACAGTTTTAAAACAAAGTTGACATTACAATTAAAAGAAAATGCTTCTGTGATCGATAAGATTATTTAACAAAAGTTAAATACTGACGATGATACAATCATGTTGTATCATACCTACTCTCTATTCAAGAGTAGCCAGCCAGCCTATGTTCCAAGTTTTTTTTTTTTTAATGCTCCTATCCTAGTACTATCTGTCTCTGTGACGTCTACTGGTATCTGAATGACGGTCATGATGAGATCTCTCTCTATATTTTCCCTCATGCCATCTGTCTTGATGTCTTGAACCCTGTCTCTCTGGATCTCTTCTCCTGTAGTTTTTTTCTTCATATCTTTGTGATCTGTCATCATCTTTCCTCCTATGGAAGTTGTTTCGAGAATCCTCAAGCTTTGGCTTAACAATGATTGGCTTTTTAAATGGCCGGTCCCTTCCACCAAACCTCAGCTGGCCAGACTCCTTTTTTCCACCAAAACCGCCTCCTAGAAAAACCATTTTTTTATCACTTTTTTAGATTTTTCATAAGAGCTACAGATGCACTCTTATATGTAATCAGTTAACATACTTGTAATTCTTAAATGAGGTAAACAGTAGTTTGTGACATCCAAAACTAAAATCTCAACATTAATGTTTATACCTTGGAATAATCATAACCATAAGTTTCATAAAACAGATGTTATCTTTTGTTCTTCTTAAACTGGATGTTACAAGTATTTATGTAGTAGCATAAAACTTTCCTCTTTTTTATTTTAATGTTAACACTTCCCTTATCTGAAAATGTATTTCTGATAATTATCAGATTAGCTACTTTTCTTTTCAGGTCGCACTATTCTGCCTTAGACTTACGTGCCACCAGCCTTGTGAAACTCAAACTTAAAATTCACATGAAACATTTGAATTTGCTCTACTGCATGATGATGTATCATCCAGCAAAACCCTTCACCAATAGGAGTGTGACACGCCTCCTTGTGCCGATGCTCCTTCTGTTTCCATTTTCATGTCCTCATTCTTTAACAAGTGCACCTTTTAACGGTGAAGAGTGGGAATGTACACAGATATGAGTATCTAAGTATCTATTAAGGAGTAAGAGCCAGAACTAAAGATTAACATGGATGTTTATACATGGCAAGGAATAATTAACCAAAACTAAGCATTATCTTCCACATGTATATGTGAAGAAGTAAAGAATTAAAGAAATGAATTGCTAGGTGTATACGTTAAAGAATAAGGAACTAGAATCAAACTATAATATAATCAACTAAGAATACGCATTACAAGAATTACTTTCAATGTGTACAAGTGTTACGTACTGGAATTTCAAATGGTTTGTAACCGAGTTAACTGATAATTTAAATTTAGTAGTTAAATTGTACTTTGGATTTAGTAGTTAAACTAAAGCCGATATATAGTCAGTTTACGATATTTGCCAACAAGATTGATACACACTGTTTTAAACACAAATATGTTTTAATATACACACAACAATACAATTTACAATAACAATAATTACAAATAGTTATTGCACACAATGATGTATAGACAAACTTACAAGCAATGTAAAGTCTTTATTCTAGTTTGGAACTTCCTTGATATCTTATCGAGGGTTCACAATGAGCGAGTTGATTATGAGTTGATGGAGATATATTTCACTTAACGGGAATCTTTGTCTCTCACTGATCACACACCAATTTTTCCACTTGTGACGTTAGGCAATGTTTTCATAAAAATACTAATGTCCAATGAAAATCCACTGAAGTTAAATGATTTGTAACGTTCAAAATTTATAAATATTCCTGGTCAAATATCTCAAGTTTTCCCATTGATAAGCGTTATAAAAATCACAGTTATAGCTTTCAAAGTTTTATTGCATCACTGACTATAGCGAACTAATAATAGATACTCTCTCTGGCACGTCTCGCTGGTTATATTTATAGCCGTGGGAAGGTTTTCTAGAAAATTCAGTCTAACGTAACAATACTGAGCAACATTTAAACGTTTATGTATATACATATATTG